GGCAGTTTGGAGATCGGGATCATTGGTAGTAGCTGGGGTGTTGTTGGGCTTTGGGGATGTCTCCTCTTCTTTCTCTACTTGAAGAAGTTTTTGCTGAATGGCATTGGCGTAGTCCGCCATATAACTCAGAATGAAGTAGGGAGGAGGGTTCTGAAAGACCTCGGTTTCTTAGCCATAACCGAGCTTTGACACGGCTGCCTTCCATCCGCATTTGAAAAATATGTCCTTAGCGGCTTCACATTGCAGGATGTAGGTGGCTTTCCCTTCTCTGTAACTGCGGTCTTCAGCATCGTCCGCGCTCTTTTTCAGTTCGGCGATCTCGGCATATTTTTTCTTTTTAAGCTTGGCTAGTTCGTGCAAATGGCGGTCTTTTAGCGCGGCCAGAGCTTTCTGTTTATCCGCTTCCGCCGCGTTAATTAGCTCGGTAAGTCGGGCATTATCATATACTAGCTCGGTCGTTTTTTGCCTCACTTCGTTTAGCTCGGCTGTTTTGGCGTTGGCATCTGCCACGGCTAGCTGCGCTGTCTTACGCAGTTCTAGAACACGCTTGTGTGCAACGTGATTTTTCTGCATGGCCTGCAAAAGGAGGAATGAAGATTGTGACTAAGACCGAACAAATAGTTGTGAGAAATGAAAAACAAACAAAGGGAGTACTTACCAGCACCATCGACTTTGTTGCCGATCGGATAGCCTTGAGCTCGATTAAGTGATCATGGTGTTCCATATTGGCTGGCAGACACACGCTTTTGGCAAGATTGAAGGCCAGGGTGTGGTCCTTGTCCGCGACCACAGAGTCCATGTTCGAAATAGCCCGGTTCTTGTAGGTCGTTTTGGGTGCCCACTCAGACGGGCTAGCTTGGCCAGAGAGCACGGGTTCAGGACTTGACAGCGTGGCTTCAAGGGGCACAGTGTCATTCTCGTCAACCAAGCGTTGCGGCTTGGTTGAAGCAATTTGTGTGCGTTTGCTCGGGCGAGATGAGGAGGCCCTAGCAGTTGGGAGGGCTACTACGGCCTCGTGTGTTTGGCAAGCTTGTGATATTTCAGTTTGATCCCCGCTAGCTGGAGTTGTTTCGGTTATCAGAGCTCGAACAGCTCGGTGCTTTGCCATTTCTTGCTCTTCGGTTAAGGGAACGAGGTTTATTTGTGGCAAGTTGGGGTCCAGTTCTGGTGACGGTTCCAATAGAAAATCTGTTACTCTGGTCTTTCTTCTACCACTGTATCTATATGTTGGTTCAAAATTCAAAAGCTCGGCCCGACCTCGGTGGCGATATCGAAGCGCGGCGCGGAGAGCGTCTAGGTTGGGGTATTGGTATTGGGACTTTAGCTGGTCCAAGTCTGCATAAGAACAAAGGCAACGGTTAGCGCGGTGTAAAAGTTATAAACAGCAAGAATAAGAAACAGACAAAAAGAGAACTGAGGTATCCTTATCAGCAGTCCCCTTATTCCAATTAATGTTGTAGCCCGATATTTGGGCTTCCTGGTTTTTGAAGTTGCCAGAAACCCAGAAGAAGTCATCATCATTGACGTCTTTGTCCGGTGTATTTTTAATTATTTTCTCTCGGCGTCTTCTTATTCTTAAATAATACACTCAACCGTCCTCATTCTGGCCGAGCGAGTATTGATGGAATAGCTCGGCCAAATCGAGGTTAAGGCCAAGCCGACGGTTTAGCTCGGCGATGCCGTTTATTATTCTGTATGAGTTAGTGGAAAGCTGGGTGGTGCAAAGTCTTGTCTGCCTAAGGAATTCACAAAGGAGTGGTTGAACAGGAAATCGAAGTCTAGCTTCAACAATGGATATTACGGTGAATGGAACGAAGCCCTATTTTTCCCAGGGGGTTGTATCTAGCTTGACTAAAGAAAGGTGGACATCATCAGGAATGTTATAGTCTTTACAGAATTTCGTGATAGCCCCATGAGAGTTTACTAAGAAACGGTGTTTACCCATCAAAACTTTAAATTATGTATAAAATAGCTTGGAATTGTAGCTCGGTGTTGAGATGACGTCGAGTATCTCGGTTGAGCATGCAAAGGTGTGCCTGGCCAACCTAGTGAAGTCTGCAAAGTGGAAATAAGAAGTGTTATGCCCAGATGACTGGACCGGACTAAGTAAACAGTCAATTTACAGAAAAATTGTAAAGGCTTAGCTCGGTTCATTTGAATGATAGGGAGTTCTCAGTTTGGTAGAACATGGGCCAACACAAGGCCTCTAGCTCATTTAGAGGTTAGTATACAGGGTTATGTCCACGTTCTTCGTTTGGTTATAACACAAGAGACAGCTCGGCATCTATGGTAACAAGAGTTTCAACTCGGTTATTGGGTAAGATTTCCAATTCGGTCTAATGCATCTATGGTAAACAAGTGTCTATCTCGGTTGTGGTGTTATTTTGGATCGAAAGCATCACATTACAGATTGTTTGCGAATCCAGTGAGTGTGATTGTTGTCCAAAAGGTTCTTACCCATTCGTGAGCAAACCATACGAGTGTGTTGTGAAAAAACATATGAATACTATGTTACATGTTGCTAGACTATACAAACAAAAAGAAAAAGGGATTGAGCTACTTACAGTTTGAAGATAGGAGGACACAGATCAAAACCGCAAGGATGACGAGGAGAACGCAAGCTTTGCAAGTGCTATGGTTGGGAAAATGGAGACTCAAAGGGCAAGAGAGAGAAGATAAATAGTAGAGTGATTAATTCAAAAACTAGGGTTTTCGTATAGAGCATAGAATGGGCAAGGCTGTTCAAAAATTGCGGAGTACGAAGACGGCTGTGATAGTTATATAGGGCCAATGAGAGCCTGCCACGTGTCCAAGAGAATAGAAAATGATTCAGATGAGCAGAGCACTCGAAAAGACGTTTATGGACCAGATTCATCGGTAGCCCGGTAGAAGGTGAGCTCGGTTGGTTTGAATGTTTCTAGCTCGGCTGGAGAAGAATAATCCCAAATCATGCACTGCAGATGGAATTAAAGGGCAATTGAGAGGGTAAAATATGTGAAGCTTGGGCCGAGCTGGAACCATATTTATGGTGAGTCAAATAATGGGCCGAGGTGAATGGGCTTCGCCACTGGGCCTTATTAGCCCGGTCATGAATGACTGAGGTTAGCTCGGCTTGAGTATTCTGAACCGAGGTACAGGGAGCCGTGTTGTAGCAGGGTGGAACCATGTTAAGTAAAGCGAGATAGGACCGAGCTAAGGAAAGCCCGGTGAAATCTGCCACTTCACGATGTGTTAACCCGGTCGTTTTGTCATACTACCGAGGTAAGACCATTTCACTTGGTTAATGTAGTGAGAAGGGTGTTAAGGGATAAGCCTTATCTCTTAGAGGTGTAATTCCTAGGTGGACTTTACATTAAAGAGTAAGAGTCCCACTAGGATTGTACCAGGCGAAATCTATAAAAGCTCATAGCAGGACCTATGTACAGGTATCACAACTTTGATTCTCGCATACACAGAGCTTTTGTCTATTTGTCTATTTTGTTAACTTAGGCATCGGAGAGGTATCCGGTATACACCTGCCGGCTAGCTCACGTTTGTGTTTTTAGGGAGTAAAATGACGACGTTCGGAGGAAGGGCAAACTTGATCAACAGGATTATACGAGAACATTATTTCGTGCTTGTACAGTTCTTATTTGGATTAATCCATTTATTGTGAGGTTTACCATAATTCTTCATATTCTTTTTATAAGGCTTCAAATAAGCATTCTTGGAATTATAACCTTTGGGTAAGTTATTATTTGCTGAAACAAAGTTTACCTTTGTGGTAGAATTGTCATTACAAGCTTGTGTTATTTATGCATCTTGGCCTCTAGCCTCCTCTTCGACTCGGATGCGAGTGATCAACGCCTCTAAGGAAGTCTCCTTTTGTTTGTGGCGCATGCTCTTTTGGAATTCTCTCCAAGATAGCGGTAGCTTGTCAACAAGTCCTGCAACTACCAAGTTGTCACCAATCTTGATGCTTTCGGATCTTACTTCTGCAACTATCATTTGGAAATCTTGTGCTTGCTCCACAACAGATTTTCCATCCACCATTTAGAAGCAAAAAAAGTGGCTAGCTGTATGCTTTTTTGCTCCTACCTCTTCAGTATCATACTTAGTCTGTAAAGCTTTCCAAATTTTCTTTGCGGAAGTGTAAGTGGTGTCATAGTAATCATAAAATTGATCAGCAAGGCAATTTAAGAGATAAAAGCGACATTTATACTCATCTGTATTATAGGAAGCCACTTTTGCTTTATGTGCCTCGTAGTCTTCATCATTCATCTCCTCGGTTGGGATTTTGTTTGGCTTTTCGGTAAGAATATATGCAACTTTCAAAAGGCTAAGGTAAAAAAGAACTTTTCCTTTCCACCTCTTAAAACGAACTCCCTTAAATTTGAAAGGCTTGTAAAGATCTCCAATTCCATCATTAGTTTTTTCTGGTACTTGTTCCATGTTTGCTCTCCTTAAAATTGTTGGTGAAAATATCAGAAAAAATTATATTTTATTGATAAATAATACAAACAAAATAAGATACAAATAAATCAGGCTGATGCACGGATATCTCGTTTTCTTTAAGGAGATCAAGCCCACTACGGTAGGAAGAATCCAAATACCGATGCAGTTGTCACAAAATTATGACTTGTCCTCTCCAGGATACAACAGCCCAACCACTTGTCGTATGGTTTAGACCAGGCCCGGTCCTGAGATTTTTGGGGCCCAAAGCCGATAATCAACTACTAAATTTCAGGGCCCCTTCACATTCTTTTTTTATTGAATGAAAAAAAAAAATTAAGGTAAATGACAAAAGATTTGTATTAAAATCACAAAAAATACTTAGCATTATATTACAACAACTAATAAGTATCACTTGATCATCGCTCTTCTTGCATTTTTAGAAGCAAATAAATCAATCATACTTGCATAATCTAGTTTTTTTACAAAATCATTTTCAATGGATAACAATCCTAATCCATTCAATCTTTCTTGTGACATGATTGATTGAAGGTAATTTTTGATGATTTTTAACTTTGAAAAGCTTCTTTCCCCGGATGCAACTGTAACTGGAATATCAAAAGTATCCTATAAGCAACCCATGAATTTGGGAAACAATTTGCCATTAACTGCAAATGATTGAGCACTTCAATTGGTTTATTGACTTCTTTTGGCAATCTCTCTTTCATGACTTTTAGTTCCATCAATAAATCTCTTCCATCAATATCGGAAATATCACCATGTTTTAAAAATTCTTCAAGGTTCACACACCCTGCCTTCAATGATTCATCACTGCACTTTTTCAAGTCAAACAAAAAGCCAAAGTTTTCCTCATATACTTTGAATTGTTCAAACCTATTTTTGAGTGAACAAAAGGCTTGATCAACAAAATAAATGAAGTAACCAACTCTAAATGATTTTTCAGCCGACTGGGTCACATCTCCGCTAACATTCTCATCAAATTGTTTCTTTTTAGAAATGATGCGCTTTCAACAAATGTAGGTTCAATTCCCAATTCACTTGTCATTTCTTTAGCTTCAACCATAGCCTCTGTGAAACCAACTTCTCTATACATTGCAACATACTTAACAAACCTATCTAGCTGCTTTACAGCAACTGCTATATCCATGTTTTCACTTTGAAGAAGCTTGCTAACAGAGTTCACATGAAACAACAAATTGTACCAAATTACAATACTAAACAAGAACTCAAAAGTCTCAAGTTCATGAGTTACCAGGGATTTAGTTTCACTTTTTGTAATCGAATCTGTGGTAGGATTGTTGTACAAGTCAACTAAAGCATCTCTTATTTTTGAAGCATGGTATCTTAGTGGTTTAATACTTTCAATGCAACTTTCCCAATGCGTTTGCGACAACGACTTAACCGTGAGGCCTTCCTTTAGATTATCTTTTAAAATTGCCCAACGTTGAATGGAAGATGAAAACAATACATATATGCGTTGTACCACACCAAAAAAAGTTTTTGCTTTAGAGCAAGAGTTGGCCATTTCACAAAGCATAAGGTTAAGACTATGACAACCACACGACGTATAGAATGCTCTACGATTTACTTGAAGTACTCTTGTTTGAACACCTTTGTTTTTTGCCTTTCATGTTAGAGCTATTGTCATATCCTTGCCCTCTTAAGTCACCAATATCAAGTTGAAGGTTAACTAATGCTTCTTGAAGTTTATCAAAAAGTCCTATCCCCGATGTATCATCCACATTCAAGAATTCCAAAAAAAACTCTTTCACTTTAATTGGACTTGTTGAAACATCTACACATCGTACAACAAGAGACATTTGTTCTTCATGGCTTATATCCGGTGTACAATCAAGTATGATCGAAAAGTATTTTGCTAGTTTGATTATCGACAAAGTTGCACTTTTGACTTCCCCAGCCAACATTTATATCACCTCATTTTGAATTTTGTGACTCAGATAAGGGTAATGAATCTCACCCTTTTCTATCCGCCGCAAGTGTTGTTCCATCGTTGGATCAAACTCGCCAATTATTTCAATTATGCTTAAAAAAAGTCCATTGCTCTCTTCATAAATCTTCTCATGGCTTGCATGAAAAGGCAAATTATTCTTGGCAAGTGTTTTCATAACTGCAATTATCATCAATACAACCCATCTCAAGTGCTCTTTTTCTTTGTTAACTTGTTCTTGTATACTTTTATCTATTGTTTGATGCTTGCCCAATCTTTCCTCCAACTCAATCCATTTGCTCATGCAAGTAATGTGCGCGTTACCACTTTCATGGCCTTTAAGTCTGTCACCAATATTTCTCCAGTCTTTAAATCCTTCGGTAGCCAATTGAGTTTTATTTCCCTCTTGCTTAAACAACTTACAACAAAAGCAAAATACTCTATCCAAAAGTTCCGAGTATTTCAGCCATGTCCTATCAAATTTTCTCCATTTGCTAAATGCCGAATGTGATGAACAGGTGAGAAATGCCTATGCCTAGAAGAATCATCCTTAGGGAAGTTGAACTCACAATTTCTTCTCACAGGACCTCTTTTGACTAAAAAATCTCGTAAATATTCTGGTCAATTATTTTCCAAGTCCCTGGATCATCTATATTTTAATGCTCACATTCCGTATTCATCTCATCATCTTGATTGGCTTCTACACTTCCAAATTCTCCATTTCCTTCTTCATCCACCAAATTTTCATTCTCATTATCCACCAAATTTTCATTCTCATTATTCACCAAAGTTTCAAATTCTTCACTGTTCAAGTCTTCAATTGATTGTTTTGTTTGTTTGTCACTCGTAAAGAATTTATCAATAGCTCCTCTTTGACACTCGACTAATTTTTCAACTCTTTGCTTCTTTTTTCATTTTGCGAATCCAGACGGGTAATTTCTTTTAAGAGTCATGATGAGCTGAGATCAAAATATTTTTTTAGATCAAAATTCAAAACAAGAGCACCACCACTTAACAAAACACAAAACTTTTAAATTATGTAATGTGAACTATTAAACTTAAACGAATTCTTCTTGATGATGTAAATAGCAATATTATAATAGTAATTAATTGGGCAAAAGACAAGACAAATATTTAATTAATTGAATAAAAAAAAAATATTTACTTGTGCTTACTGTGTTGAGATTAAATATTTTTTTAAATCAAAATTCAAAACAAAAGCACCACCACTTAACAAAACACAAAATTTTTAAATTATGTGATGTGAACTATTAAATTTAAATAATTTTTTTTGATGATGTAAATACCAATATTATAATAACAATTAATTGTGCAAAAGACAAGATAAATATTTAATTAATTGAATAGGAAAAAAAATATTTAACTATGCTTGCTGTGCTGAGATCAAAATATTTTTTTAAATCAAAATTCAAAATAAGAGCACCACCACTTAACAAAACACAAAACTTTTAAATTATGTGATGTGAACTATTAAACTTAAATAAATTTTTCTTGATGATGTAAATACCAATATTATAATAGTAATTAATTGTGCAAAAGACGAGATAAATATTTAATTAATTGAATAGAAAAAAAAAAAATGTACCTGTGCTTGTTGCTGCTTTGTCTGGGCTGTTAGTGTGTGCTTCGTCCTTGCTGGTGTGTGCTATCAAACAAATATAGGGAAGGTTGGATTAAGAGATGATAGGGTTAGGAATTATAAAAATGGGCCTTTCAGACTGTTGCGCTGGGCCTTAAACTGTTGGCTTTTTAATGGATCAAAAAAATTAAGTTAGTTTGGGCATTTTTTAAATTTTTTTGGGACTTAAAACACACCTAACATATTATACTAACGTATAATAGAAGGGGGCCCCTAAGTCATGGCCTTGTGGGCCTATGGCCAGGGCCGGACCTAGCTCATGCCAACTCTGCACAAGATGATGAATCCAAAACTCCACCAAGAAAAACACCCTTCTTTGCTAGTAATTTCTCTTGTATAGAAAATAGTTGGTGTGTTGATGAAGAAAAGAGTAGAAGAGATGAACTATTTATAGGCCACTAGGACCTTATAAATTACATCAAAAAATAATGATGACCATTAAACTAGAGAAAATGGAAAGACTCCAAATAATAATTCACCACCAAGTTCATGAATTCTAATTAATCTCCATTCATAAACAAGACAAAAGGTCACTGTGGGGGCCGATTATTGAGAGTCCTAAAGATTCCGGATAATCAAACTTGGGAGAGTCGATATTCCGAAGCACTCGACAATGGGCCCGAAAGCTCAAATCCAACCCTACTCGGCCAAATGACCGATTGAGCAAAGGGTTGAGTGAAGATCGGACAGTCATAGAAAATGCCGAATACGAGGTGGGAAAGGGATCTAATCCCGAGGCCCAAAGAAAAGATATAAATAGGAGAAACATCACCCAGAAAGAGGAATGGGAGAATTACTGTGCTTAACCTAGAATACAAGCTTCATCGAGTGTAGATACTAACTTGCCAGTCGGAGTGCTAATTCCGGCAACCCCGACCGGAGTGTTTATTCTTTTTCAGGTGACTAGAAGAGGATCACGAGCGTTCCCCAAGATCTTGAAGAGTATTTCCAAACCACTTCTCCACAATTGGCGCCGTCTGTGGGAATACTCAAGCACATCCATGGCGAACGTGACGAAAGATCCTCCGACAGTCACTATCAACCCCATACCTCAAGATGAAACCGCTCCAACAAACTTGCTTGGAACAGAGACTGTCACCGCAAGACGTGCCCTAAATTTCGCCTCACCCTCGACTTCGGAGCATGAGATAATGCGGGCGATCATAGAACAAGCAAAGCAAAACGAACAGAGGTTGGAAAGCATGATCACTGAGAACGAACGTCTTTGTGAAAATTTGGCCTTAGAAATGGCAAAGTTCGCGCAAGCTGCGCGCCCAAATCCGGAACGATCTTCAAAGGCAGATGGTCGACGATCTCGAGCCCGACAACAAGATACTAATAGCAACTCCAACTCATTATCCTCGAGGCCCCAGAAGAAGGGACGATCCGCAATTTCTAGTTCTCCTGAAGAGAGTCCCCGAACAAGGCCCAAGCGAAGAAGAAATAGCTCGGATGACGATCAACACGATCCTTCTGTACGATGAATTTCAAGGGCGGTGCTATCTCAGAAATTCATAGCACCGTCATTTACCTCGCACGACGGGAAATTGGCACAAGATGGCTGGCTATAACAGTACGTTCGAAAAGGCAACCCAGCCAAAGTAATAGCCTTGACATAGGATTCACATTCGCTTCGCGCAATCCACATGATATACAGCATGCCGATCTCATCAGAGGTACATGCGGTTCAGTCGAAGTGTAACCATCACGAGCAACTCACTCCAGCTAAACAGCCCCTTGAAGCCGAGGTTATCACTTTCGATGATTCAGATTTGGCTGGAGTAACACTGCCCCACATTGATCCCTTGGTAATCGAGTTACGCGTAAACCGATTCACAGTTGAGCGCGTACTCATCAATCCGGGGAGCACTTCAGAGATTATATACTACAAGACACTCACCAAACTTGGCTTCTCCGAATCGGATCTCTCCACGACCCCTTATCCACTATTCGGCTTTAATGCCAATCCAGAATACCCGTTGGGAAAAATCCGACTGCCCGTTCGAGCAGGTTCTCGAACAGTGGATGTGGGATTCTTGGTCGTCAAGCTGCCATCGCCGTATAATCTCATCATGGGACGGTCCTGGTTGCATACTATGCGAGCCGTGCCCAGCACCTATCATCAACTGCTCCGCTTCCCGACAGAACACGGTATTGAGCAAATCCGTGGCTCCTAGAAATCGGCACAAACATGTTACCTCCTTGCGGAGAAAACGCCAAAGGCATTACAAGTGAATTCCATTGAGTTGCCAGATCGAGAAAGCCTCGATGATGTTGGGTGGCTCCCAAAGGAAAAAGCAACGGAAAACTTAGAACAAGTTCAAATTGATGGAAACCCAGACAAGTTCTTCATGGTCGGCGCCTCCTTGAATTGGACCGACCGACAGCAACTAATATCTTTCCTAATGAGCAACCTCGATGTCTTTGCATGAACTCCGTACGAGATGTCGGGTATAGATCCGTCAGTTTCACAACACCGTTTGAATGTCGATCCTAAGTGCAAGCCGATCATTCAGAAAAGTCGGCGGTCAGCCGCAGAGCAAACTGCCGCCGTTGTTGAGGAGGTCGACAGGCTGCTCGACGCCGGAGCAATTAGGGAGGTGACCTACCTTACATGGCTCTCTAATACAGTGGCGGTAAAGAAGAAAAATGGGACTTGGCGAGTGTGCGTCGACTTCAAGGACCTAAACAAAGCCTGCCCAAAGGATTGTTTTCCTCTTCCCAGAATAAACCAGCTCGTAGATGCTACAGCGCGTCATCAGTGTATGAGTTTCCTTGATGCCTATAAAGGTTATCATCAAATCGCCATGCATCCGGAGGACCAAAAGAAAACTGCATTTCTCACCCCAAGAGGAACCTATTGCTATAAGGTAATGCCTTTTGGGTTGAAGAATGCAGGGACAACTTACCAGAGACTGGTCACCACCATATTCAAAGAGAAACTTGGCAAAACGATGGAAGTGTACATCGACGATATGGTGGTCAAGTCCAAAGAAGAGCAGAATCATATAGCCGATTTGGAAGAGACATTCGGCATCCTACGCAAATATGGAATGAAGTTGAATACTTCCAAATGTGCGTTTGGTATCGGCTCCGGCAAATTCTTAGGCTACATTGTTAACCATAGAGGAATCGAAGCCAACCTAAGGCAAATCACAGTAATCCTGGAGCTCGGCTCCCCTCGTTCAGTAAAGGAGGTTCAAAAGTTGATGGAGATGGTTACCGCACTGAACAGGTTTATTAGTCGGTCCACAGATCGCTGCCGACAATTCTTTCATAGACCACGGTAGGGCAAGGCCTTTGAATAGTCCGTCGAT